TCCATTGTTGTAACACGAGCACACGGTATATATATATATATATATATATATATATATATATATATATATATATATATATATATATATATATATATATATATATATATATATATATATATATATATATATATGCAATAAGATCACAGTAAACAGGTGATTTCAAAATATGCAAAACAACCACTCTGAAAGAATAGAGAAATTCCAAGTGCTTTCGTGACTACTCACATTATCAAGGAACTATGAAAGTGAAGCATCCAAGGAAGCTATATAAGGGGTCGGCCAGCACCTCACTATCAGTTCCCACAACGGTTAAACACGTGACGCGCGGCGAGCCAACTTGGATAGGTCCTTTGCAAAACTCACCCCCAAGCTATTTATTTGTCCAGTGTATTATTAAATTCTACCCAAATTCTATTAATTATAAATGGATCTAATTTATATAAACCAAAGGAAATATTCATATTATTGTCAAAACTGCTTTTTATGAAACAAGATTCAATTATATTCCTGTCGACCATGGACTTGCTTGATACTACTTTCTCAACTTTTTGAAAATCAATTGGATGGTTAAAATCTCTTACATGAATAAATAGAGCATTGGAATCTTGTCCAGTTTAATGCTATATTTATGTTGTTTTAATCTTAGTTCAAGATTTTTACCAGTTTGACCGTAATAAACTTTATCGCAAATTTTACAAGGAATCTTATAGACACATCCATCAGCATTTTGGGGGAATTCTTAATCAAAGGTTTTTTACTGTATCAAGATTTTTGAATACAACTTTAATATTAAAAGTCTTAAGAAGAGAAGGCATATCAACCAAGTTTTCATGGTAAGGAGAACCAACATATTTTTAGTTGAATAAGGCTGGTTCCCCTTTTTTGGATTATAAAAAGTGTTCCTAGCAACTTTAAAAGATTTATCAATTACATTTCTTGGTATTTTAAATCATTACCTATTTCATAAATTTTGGATATTTCCTCATCTATGAACTCAGGGCTACAAATTCGTAAAGCTCTCAAAAACATTGATGAGAAAACATGACAGTTTGACTATCTTGATGCGAGGAATAATAGTGGACATAGGAACAGTTATTTGTAGGTTTTCTGTAATATTAAATTTGGAATTCATTATTTACCCTTAATAATTAAAACATCTGGAAAAGGCAATGAGTTATTTTCTTCAAACTCAACAGTAAAGTTTTAGAATGGCTAAGCTATTTAATTTTCCAAGAAAATGGTGTATATCTACATTTTTGGGCATAAGACACAAAACATCATCAACATATCTGAACCATTTAGCTCTATTAGGGAGGATTGTGTTAAGCAACCTTGTTTCAAAAAATTCCATGTATAGGTTACTAAGAACAGGTGAAAGAGGATTTCCCATTGCCATACCAAACTTCTGAGTGTAAAACTTATCATTAAATACAAATTTTGCATCAACAATGCAAAGTTTAATAAGTTTAATGATAGTAGGAACTGGCAATGGTAAATCATAGTTAACGAGTTCTTCAGATAAGAAACTTAATAAATCATCAACAGAACTTTCGTAAACAAAGAAGTAACATCAAAACTAACCATGTTAAAATCATTTAAGTCAGTCAAGGAGCTTAATTATCAACCAAGTCTATGTTGTTTTTACATTAAAGTTAAGAATTTTGCCAACAATAGGGCTCAAAATATCAACAAGCCATTTGGATAATTTATATGAAACTGACCCTATGGAGCTAATAATTGGTCTGACTGGATTCCCTGTTTGTGTGTTTTTATTAGTCCATACATATAAGGTAAAGATGGATTAGTGGAAGTAAATTGTTTGACTAATTCATCTTTGCCTTTCAGTAGAAGTTTTATTGTTTTATTGAAATTGCTGTTAACGGTTTTTCTAGGGAATTTTTCCTAAGTTTAGAATAGGTTTCAGTATCATCTAAGAGATTATTCATTTTTTCTTGGTAATCATTTTCTTTCATAATTACTATTGCATTTATTTTGTCTGCTTTAGTAAGGCGCAAATTTTTATTGTTATTAAGTGTATCATAAGACTTAAAGAATCTTTGAGGGCAATTGGGAATGTTTGGTTTTAACATAGAGCTGTATACCATTCCTTTACTAATATTAATTTCATCAGAGGATAAATCAGAAAATTTTTCAAAGTTACAAAAGGCTTTTGCAATTTCAACATTATTAAGTTTTTTTGAAGTTGCAAAACTTAGGCCAAAACCTAGAGCAGCAGTTGTATGTTTGTCTAAAATTTCATCTGATAAGTTAATTACAAAATTGTTATTAGCATGCTTTGTCCAATCACTATTTTCAATTAAAATGTCTAATTTTCTTTGTAGTTTGCTCTTGAGTTCATTACAAATTCTTCTGAGTTTATTATAGCAATGATCCAACATACTGTGTTTCCATTCTGATGGAATGGCCTGATTAAAAGAGTATTTTTTGTTTCTCAATATTTTGAATGCTTCCTTCTCCTGTATTTTAGTTATTTCAGTATGTTTCTGAAGAATAATTCTCATAAAATCATCAAAAGGACGATCTCTCATGTCAAGGAGTCTATTGGGTAAAAGAGACTTGGGCAGAACTTGTTCATTTAAACAATTTTTTAAAAAATTAAGTCGAATTTTTAACTTGTGGGACTTGATCAGTGCAGAAGAAAACTGTGAAACAAAAGATATATGATTAGGAAAGCTTATCGAGAACATTCTGAAGAGTCGTGTGGTATCCATTAATGCAATAAGATCACAGTAAACAGGTGATTTCAAAATATGCAAAACAACCACTCTGAAAGAATAGAGAAATTCCAAGCGCTTTCGTGACTACTCACATTATCAAGGAACTATGAAAGTGAAGCATCCAAGGAAGCTATATAAGGGGTCGGCCAGCACCTCACTATCAGATCCCACAACGGTTAAACACGTGACGCGCGGCGAGCCAACTTGGATAGGTCCTTTGCAAAACTCACCCCCAAGCTATTTATTTGTCCAGTGCATTATTAAATTCTACCCAAATTCTATTAATTATAAATGGATCTAATTTATATTATGATAAGTTTTACACTCAGAAGTTTGGTATGGCAATGGGAAATCCTCTTTCACCTGTTCTTAGTAACCTTTACATGGAATTTTTTGAAACAAGGTTGCTTAACACAATCCTCCCTAATAGAGCTAAATGGTTCAGATATGTTGATGATATTTTGTGTCTTATGCCCAAAAATGTAGATATACACCATTTTCTTGGAAAATTAAATAGCTTAGCCCATTTTATAAACTTTACTGTTGAGTTTGAAGAAAATAACTCATTGCCTTTTCTACATGTTTTAATTATTAAGGGTAATAATGAATTCAAATTTAAAATTTACAGAAAACCTACAAATAACTGTTCCTATGTCCACTATTATTCCTCGCATCAAGATAGAGTCAAACTGTCTGTTTTCTCATCAATGTTTTTGAGAGCTTTACGAATTTGTAGTCCTGAGTTCATAGATGAGGAAATATCCAAAATTTATGAAATAGGTAATGATTTAAAATACCCAAGAAATGTAATTGATAAATCTTTTAAAGTTACTAGGAACACTTTTTATAATCCAAAAAAGGGCAACCAGCCTTATTCAACTAAAAATATGTTGGTTCTCCCTTACCATGAAAACTTGGTTGATATGCCTTCTCATCTTAAGACTTTTAATATTAAAGTTGTATTCAAAAATCTTGATACAGTAAAAAAACTTTTGATTAAGAATTCCCCCCAAAATGCTGATGGATGTGTCTATAAGATTCCTTGTAAAATTTGCGATAAAGTTTATTACTGTCAAACTGGTAAAAATCTCGAACTAAGATTAAAACAACATAAATATAGCATTAGAACTGGACAAGATTCCAATGCTCTATTTATTCATGTAAGAGATTTTAACCATCCAATTGATTTTCAAAAAGTTGAGAAAGTTAGTATCAAGCAAGTCCATGGTCGACAGGAATATAATTGAATCTTGTTTCATAAAAAGCAGTTTTGACAATAATATGAATATTTCCTTTGGTTTATATAAATTAGATCCATTTATAATTAATAGAATTTGGGTAGAATATAATAATACACTGGACAAATAAATAGCTTGGGGGTGAGTTTTGCAAAGGACCTATCCAAGTTGGCTCGCCGCGCGTCACGTGTTTAACCGTTGTGGGATCTGATAGTGAGGTGCTGGCCGACCCCTTATATAGCTTCCTTGGATGCTTCACTTTCATAGTTCCTTGATAATGTGAGTAGTCACGAAAGCGCTTGGAATTTCTCTATTCTTTCAGAGTGGTTGTTTTGCATATATATATATATATATATATATATATATATATATATATATATATATATATATATATATATATATATATATATATATATATATATATATATATATATATATATATATATATACTCTAATTTGTAATAAGCTACTATAAATGAATATACAGAAAAATGGAAAAGGGGCTTGAACTGTGGTCGTGGGATTACCAGATCCAATTCTTTACCTGTAACAGTACTTCCATACATGTTTTCTGACAGCGACACTAACTGTAACACTACTGACTCTTCCACACAACCCCCCTGTAATCATAGTAAATCTGTCCTTACCTCCCTCAGAACCACATGGTGTGTGGCACTGCCTCTGCTTCTGAGGTGGCCTGCCACACACTTAAGGGAGAAGTGTATATCTTCAGGGAGAAGTGGATATGAGCTGCTTTTAATGGCTACCAGTTTTGTACACGATAAGAGGTGGCTGTTCATTTTATCAACGGCGTCGAAGTTCTCCTTAACTGTCACAACTATACATAAATATTTAGAACTACACAACTTTGATAAATTATGATATATAAACGATTTGCAGAGTGCTTCTAATATAGTGTGGCATAATACATTGAAAAAAATAATAAAATACAACAGTTAAATGCTTCAAACTGATTATAAAACAATGTTAATGTAATAAATATATTTTGCATGAATCATTACAGATACAACTCTGCCTATAATCTGGTTGTGGGAGCGGTTGTTGCTGCTGGTGTGGATGATGGTGACACTGGTGTTAACACGGAGTTACTCTGGCAACCTCATGGCTCTCCTGGCAGTGAGACACATCCCTCAACCTTACCAAACACTACGTCAAGTGTTAGACGACCCATCTGTTACGATCATATGGGAACAAGGCTCTGCAACAATCTCCTATATGAAAGTGAATCAGGAACCTATAACATGCTGTAGAATATTGAAATATTGAACAAGTTGTGAATTATATATATATATATATATATATATATATATATATATATATATATAATATAGGGAGGTACCACCTCTAGAACTGTTATAGGGACCCTCATCCTCAGAGAAAAGAATAAACTTGCTTCATGGGAAACTCAAGGTTCTCCCTGAAGCTGTTTATATATATGTATGTATGTCGTGCCGAATATGTAAAACTGGTCAATTAGCAAGAACTCATTTAAAATTAAGTCCTTTCTGAAAATTTCTCTTATACGCTTAAAGATATATTTTTTCATTAATGTTAATGTAAAAATTTCTATTTTTGCAACAAAAGAATCTTAGAAAACTTACCTAACCTTATCATAACAAGAGCAATTTATTTTAGCCTAACCCAACTAAATATATTTTAAATACGTTTACAATAATTTAGTACTAAACAAACACAATCAAATATATTTTTTTCGTCAGGTTCAGAATTATTTTGGCGAAATTTTTGCATACACAAATTTTCACTTGTCCTATATGTCAAGGTGAGCGTTGCTATTTAAGCCAAGATCGCAAGTTCTGCCTATTCGGCACGACATATATATATATATATATATATATATATATATATATATATATATATATATATATATATATATATATATATATATATATATATATATATATATATATATATATATATGGACGAAGTATTCGAGATGTAGCTCTGAGTCACCTATGTTGTTTTACTTTCTATCTTATTTTTGTGAATGTTTTGTCAATGTATTTTGTCTTTAAATAAAATATACATAAAATATAGGGGGTGGGAGGAAAAAATTCTCAACAGCTTCAGGGAGAACCTTGAGTTTCCCCTGAAGCAAGCTTATTCTTTTCTCTGAGGATGAGGGTCCCTATAACAGTTCTAGAGGTGGTACCTCCCTATATTATATGTATATATATATATATATATATATATATATATATTATATATATATATATATATATATTATATATATATATATATATATATATATATATATATATATATATATATATATATGTCGTGCCGAATATGTAAAACTGGTCAGTTAGCAAGAACTCATTTAAAATTAATTCCTTTCTGAAATTTTCTCTTATACCTGGAGTTTACCTGGAGAGAGTTTCGGGGGTCAACGCCCCCGCGGCCCGGTCTGAGGTGGATGGTTGTGGATTGACAGCAGAAGTGGATGGTTTGGATATTCAGTTGAGGTGGATGGTTGTGGATTGTCAGCTGAGGTGGACGGTTGCCGATTGCCAGCTGAGGTGGATTTTTTTGAATTGTCAGCTGAGGTGGATGGTTGTGGATTGTCAGCCGAGGTGCATTGTTGTGGATTGTCAGCTGAGGTGGATGGTTGTGGATTGTCAACTGAGGTGGATGGCTGTGGATTGTCATCTGAGGTGGATTGTTGTGGATTGTCGGCTGAGGTGGATGGCTGTAGATTGGCAGCTGAGATGTGTGGTTGAGGATTGTCATCTGAGGAGGATGGTTGTGGATTGCCACCTTAGGTGGATGGTTGTAGATTGTCAGCTGAGGTGAATTGTTGTGGATTGTCAGCTGAGATAGGTAGTTGTGGATCGTCATCTGAGGTGGATGCTTGTGGATTGTCAGCTGGGGTGGATTGTTGAGGATTATCGGTTGAGGTGGATGGTTGTAGATTGTCAGCTAGGTAGGTGGTTGTGGAATGTTAGCCGAGGTGGTCGGTTGTGGATTGTCAGCTGAAGCGCATAGTTGTGTATTGTCAGCTGAGATGGATATTTGTGGATTTTCAGCAAGGTGAATGGTTTTGGATTGTCAGCTGAGGTGGATGGTTGTGGATTGTCAACTGAGGTGGATGGTTGTGGATTGTCAGCTGAGGTGGATGGTTGTGGATTGTCAGCTGAAGTGGATGGTTTGGATTGTCAGCTGAGGTGGATGGTTGTGGATTATCAGCTGAGGTGGGCGGTTGCCGATTGCCAGCTGAGGTGGATTGTTGTGAATTGTCAGCTGAGGTGGATGGTTGTGGATTGTCTGCCGAGGTGCATTGCTGTGGATTGTCAGCTGAGGTGGGTGGTTGTGAATTGTCAACTGAGGTGGATGATCGTCGATTGTCAACTGAGGTGGATTGTTGTGGATTGTCGGCTGAGGTGAATGGTTGTAGATTGTAGCTGAGATGGGCGGTTATGGATTGTCAGCTGAGGTGGATGGTTGTGGATTATCAGCTGGGGTGTTTGGTTGTAGATTGTCAGCTGAGGTGGATTGTTGTGGATTGTCCGCTGAGATGGGTGTTTGCGGATTGTCAGCTGAGGTGGATGGTTGTGGATTGTCAGCTGACTTGGATTGTTTTGGATTATCGGCTTAGGTAGATAGTTGTGGGTTGTCAGCTGAGGTGGATTGTTGTAGATTAACAACTGAGGTAGATGGTTGTGTATTTTCAGCTGAGGTGGATGGTTGTGGATTTTCAGCTGAGGCAGATGGTTGTGGATTGTCAGCTGAGGTGGATGGTTGTAGATTGTCAGTTGAGGTGGATGGTTGTGGATTGTCAGCTGAGGTGGTAGTTGAGGATTATCAGCTGAGGTGGATGGTTGTGGAATGTCAACTGAGGTGGATGGCTGTGGATTGTCATCTGAGGTGGATTTTTTGTGGATTGTCGGCTGAGGTGGATGGCTGTAGATTGTCAGCTGAGATATGTGGTTGAGGATTGTCAGCTGAGGTGGATGATTGTGGATTGCCACTTGAGGTGGATGGTTGTAGATTGTCAGCTGAGGTGAACTGTTGTCAATTGTCAGCTGAGATGGGTAGTTGCGGATTGTCAGCTGAGGTGGATGCTTGTGGATTGTCAGCTGTGGTGGATTGTTAAGGATTGTCGGTTGAGGTGGATGGTTGTGGATTGTCAGCTAGGTGGGTGGTTGCGGAATGTTAGCCGAGGTGGACGGTTGTGGATTGTCAGCTGAGGTGGATTGTTGTGAATTGTCAGCTGAGGTGGATGGTTGTTGATTGTCTGCTGAAGTGCATTGTTGTGGATTGTCAGCTGAGGTGGGTGTTTGTGGATTGTCAGCTGAGGTGGATGGTTGTGGATTGTCAGCTGAGGTGGATTGTTGTGGATTATCGGCTGAGGTGGATGGTTGTGGGTTGTCAGCTGAGGTGGATTGTTGTAGATTAACAGCTGAGGTAGATGGTTGCGTATTTTCAGCTGAGGTGGATGGTTGTGGATTTTCAGCTGAGGTAGATGGTTGTGGATTGGCAGCTGAGGTGGATGGTTGTAGATTGTCAGTTGAGGTGGATGGTTGTAGATTGTCAGCTGAGGTGGATGGTTGTGGATTGTCTGCTGAGGTGGATGGTTGTGGATTGTCCGCTGAGGTAGGTGGTTGTAGATTGTCAGCTGAGATGGATGTTTGTGAATTGTCAGCAAGGTGAATGGTTTTGGGTTGTCAGCTGAGGTGGATGGTTGTGGATTGTCAACTGAGGTGGGTGGTTGTGGATTGTCAGCTGAGGTGGATGGTTGTGGATTGTCAGCTGAAGTGGATGGTTTGGATTGTCAGCTGAGGTGGATAGTTGTGGATTGTCAGCTAAGGTGGACGGTTGCCGATTGCCAGCTGAGGTGGATTGTTGTGAATTGTCAGCTGAGGTGGATGGTTGTGGATTGTCTGCCGAGGTGCATTGTTGTGGATTGTCAGCTGAGGTGGGTGGTTGTGGATTGTCAACTGAGGTGGATTGTTGTGGATTGTCGGCTGAGGTGGATGGTTGTAGATTGTCAACTGAGGTGGGTGGTTGTGGATTGTCAGCTTACGTGGATGGTTGTGGATTGTCAGCTGAGATTGGTGTTTGCGGATTGTCAGCTGAGGTGGATGGTTGTGGATTGTCAGCTGAGATGGATTGTTGTGGATTATCGGCTGAGGTGGATGGTTGTGGGTTGTCAGCTGAGGTGGGTTGTTGTAGATTAACAGCTGAGGTGGATGGTTGTGTATTTTCAGCTGAGGTGGATGGTAGTGGATTTTCAGCTGAGGTAGATGGTTGTGGATTGTCAGCTGAGGTGGATGGTTGTAGATTGTCATTTGAGGTGGATGGTTGTGGATTGTCAGCTGAGGTGGTAGTTGAGGATCGTCAGCTGAGGTGGATGGCTTTGGATTGTCTGCTGAGGTGGATGGTTGTGGATTGTCAGCTGAGGTAGGTGGTTGTGGATTGTCAGCTGAGGTGGGTGGTTGTGGATTGTTAGCTAAAGTGGATGGTTGAGGATTATGAGCTTAGGTGAATTGTTGTGGATTGACAGCTGTGGTGAATAGTTGTGGATTGTCAGCTGAGGTGGATAGTTGTAGATTTTCAGCTGAGGTGGGTGGTTGTGGATTGTCAGCTGTGGTGGATGGTTGTGGATTTTCAGCTGAGGTGGATTGTTGTGGACTGTCAGCTGAGGTAGATGGCTGTGGGTAGTCAGTTGTATTTGACTGATGAAACCTGCCTTGAAGATAAAACATTTCAGCATTAAAGATTCGCAACTGTTCCACGTGTGTCTTACACACTGTTATCTTTTTTATTTGTCAACAATTTGGACACCTAAAAAAAGACGTTTGCCACTTTTGGGGGTCTAAGGAACGTAACTCTTATTTAACCATACGATCTTCAGTTTGTTTTAGACGATTTTGTCTTAGACGCCATTTGTAAAAACTTAACTACCGTCATAATCGTCGGTCAACTATATATAGGTGTGTGTGTGTGTATGTGTGTGGTGTGTGTGTTGTGTGTGTTGTGTGTGTGGTGTGTGTGTGGGGTTTTGTGTGTGTGTGTGTGTGTGTTTTGTGTGTGTGTGTGTGTGTGTCTGTGTAATGTATACATATGTCTGTATTAATTAAGTCTTTCAGTTAGCGAAATCTGGTGTATTTCGGGAATTAGCTGAATCAGAGAAGATTGGTCGACTCATCTACGTACCAACTTCGGAGTTCCAAGAAATCATTGACACTCTGGTGCGGCGGGGCGACCACGTCTTTATTAATGTCCATTCTGGTTTGAAGTCATCTATCGCTCAAGACTTCACGAAAACAGGTATGTACTTCTGAAGCAAAGTACAACAAGCTGAATATCTGCGAAATCTCACGGTATGTGAAGGGCCTGGTCATGGCCTGGTTACGGACTGGGCCGCGGGGGCGTTGACCCCCGGAACACCCACCAGGAATACTCTAAGTAACGAAAAGTTTTTGGCCATAAAATAGGTATTTCAGTAGGGGGACTTTTAAGCTATTGCACAAGTATATAAATATAACATACATACTGTACATACAAAGACACATACACATATACGACCACACATTTACCTTTGCAAAAATTTATATACATAAATGTAAACATATACTTGTCATACTTGTAAATACCCACGAATGCATGCACACAACAATTCAGACACACAGACGCACACGAACACAAATACACACACACACACACACACACACACACACACACACACAGAAATATATATATATATATATATATATATATATATATATATATATATATATATATATATATATATATATATATATATATATATATATATATGTGTGTATATATATATATATATATATTATATATATATATATATATATATATATATATATATATATATATATATATATATATATATATATATATATATATATATATATATATATATATATATATATATATATGAAATAAAATCACAGTAAACAGGTGACTTCAGAATTTGCAAAACAACCACTGTGAAAGAATAGTGGAATTCCAAGCGCTTTCGTGACCTCTCACATTATCAAGGAACTATAAAAACAATGCATCAAAAGAAGGCATGTGAAGGTCGAGACCACACATCTCACCGTCACATCCCACAACAAAGCAAACACCTGACGTGCGACGACATCCGACTCATAAGAAAGGAACACTGCAGCAGGCCTGTTGGCCCCAACTAGGCAGGTCCTCACGACATCCCACTAACAAAGCACTCTACCCAAGAAATAAGATTTACTATTTGTCCAGTGCATTATTAAATTCTTCCCAAATTTAATTAATTATAAATGAATCTAATTTATATAAACCAAAGTAAATATTCATATTATTTTCAAAACTGCTTTTGATGAAACATGATTCAATTATATTCCTGTCGACCATGGACTAATTAATATTAGTAATTAATATTAGTAAAATTAATATTAGTAAGGGTATGGAATATAGCTCTGTATTAAAACAAAATATTCCCAATTCCCCACAAAGATTCTTTTAGTCTTACTACACTTACTAATAATAAAAATTTGCGCCTTGCTAATGCAAATAAAATAAATGCAATAGTAATTATGAAAGAAAATGATTACAAAGAAAAAATGAATACTCTCCTAGATGATAAAGAAACCTATTCTTAACTTAGAAAGAATCCCTTAGAATCTGTTAACAGCAAATTCAATAAAACAATAAAACTTCTACTGAAAGGTAAAGATGAATTAATCAAACAATCCATCTTTACTCTACATGTATGGACTAATAAAAGCACATAGACCATATAATCCAATTATTAGCTCCACAGGATCAGTTTCATGTAAGTTTTCCAAATGGCTTGTTGATATTTTGAGCCTTATTGTTGGTGAAATTTCTAACTCTGATGTTAAAAACAACATATATTTAGTTGCTAAATTAGCTCCTTGACTGACTTAAATGATTTTAACATGGTTAGTTTTGATGTTACTTCCTTGATTATTTATTAAGTTTCTTATCTGAAGAACTTGTTAATTATGATTAACCATTGCCAGTTCCTACTATCATTAAACTTATTAAACTTGCCATTGTTGATGCAAAATTTGTATTTAATGATAAGTTTTACACTCAGAAGTTTGGTATGGCAATGGGAAATCCTCTTTCACCTGTTCTTAGTAACTTATACATGGAATTTTTTGAAACAAGGTTACTTAACACAATCCTCCCTAATAGAGCTAAATGGTTCAGATATGTTGATGATATTTTGTGTCTTATGCCCAAAAATGTAGATATACACCATTTCCTTGGAAAATTAAATAGCTTAGCCCATTCTATAAACTTTACTGTTGAGTTTGAGGAAAATAGCTCATTGCCTTTTCTAGATGTTTTAATTATTATTGGTAATAATGAAGTAAAATTTAAAATTTACAGAAAACCTATAAATAACTGTTCTTATGTACGTTTTTATACTTCACATCAAGATAAAGTTAAACTGTTTATTTTCTCATCAATGTTTTTGAAAGCTTTGCGTATTTGTAGTCCTGAGTTCATAGATGAGGAAATATCCAAAATTTATGAAATAGCTGATGATCTGAAATATCCAAGAAACGTAATTGATAATTTTTTTAAGATTGCTAGAAATACTTTTTACAGTCCAAAAAGGGACAAACAACATTTTTCAACTAAAAATAAGTTGGTTCTCCCTTACCATGAAAACTTGGCTGATATGCCTTCTCTTCTTAAGACTTTTAATATCAAAGTAGTATTTAAAAAACTTGATACAGTAAAAAAAAAACTTTTGATAAAGAATTCCCCCCAAAATGCTGATGGATGTGTCTATAAGATTCCTTGTAAAATTTGTGATAAAGTTTATTACGGTCAAACTGGTAAAAGTCTCGAACTTAAGATTAAAACAAAATAAATATAGCATTAGAACTGGACAAGATTCCAATGCTCTGTTTATTCATGTGAGAGATTTTAACCATCCAATTGATTTTCAAAAAGTTGAGAAAGTTCAAGCAAGTCCATGGTCGACAGGAATATAATTGAATCTTGTATCATAAAAACCAGTTTTGAAAATAATATGAATATTTCCTTTGATTTATATAAATTAGATTCATTTATAATTAATAGAATTTGGGAAGAATTTAATAATGCATTGGACAAAGAGTAAATCTTATTTCTTGGGTAGAGTGCTTTGTTAGTGGGATGTCGTGAAGGATCTGCCTAGTTGGGGCCAACAGGCCTGCTGCAGTGTTCCTTTCTTATGAGTCGGATGTCGTCGCGCATCAGGTGTTTGCTTTGTTGTGGTATGTGATGGTGATGTGTGGTCTCGACCTTTATATGCCTTCCTTTGACGCATTGTTATTATAGTTCCTTGATAATGTGAGAGGTCACGAAAGCGCTTGGAATTTCACCGTTCTTTCACAGTGGTTGTTAAGATAAGATAAGACTTCGTTCGGATTTTTAACCCCGGAGGGTTAGCCACCCAGGATAACCCAAGAAAGTCAGTGCGTCATCGAGGACTGTCTAACTTATTTCCATTGGGGTCCTTAATCTTGTCCCCCAGGATGCGACCCACACCAGTCGACTAACACCCAGGTACCTATTTGCTGCTAGGTGAACAGGACAACAGGTGTAAGGAAACGTGTCGAAATGTTTCCACCCGCCGGGAATCGAACCCGGGCCCTCCGTGTGTGAAGAGGGAGCTTTAGCCACCAGGCCAAATATATATATTATATATATATATATATATATATATATATATATATATATATATATATATATATATATATATATATATATATATATATATATATATATATATATATATATATATATATATATATATATATATATATTATTTATTTAATAAATGTATGGAAGAGGGTAAGGTACCTAGGGATTGGCAGAGAGCATGCATAGTTCCTTTGTATAAAGGCAAAGGGGATAAAAGAGAGTGCAAAAATTATAGGAGGATAAGTCTGCTGAGTATACCTGGTAAAGTGTATGGTAGAGTTATTATTGAAAGAATTAAGAGTAAGACGGAGAATAGGATAGCAGATGAACAAGGAGGCTTTAGGAAAGGTAGGGGGTGTGTGGACCAGGTGTTTACAGTGAAACATATAAGTGAACAGTATTTAGATAAGGCTAAAGAGGTCTTTGTGGCATTTATGGATTTGGAAAAGGCGTATGACAGGGTGGATAGGGGGGCAATGTGGCAGATGTTGCAAGTGTATGGTGTAGGAGGTAGGTTACTGAAAGCAGTGAAGAGTTTTTACGAGGATAGTGAGGCTCAAGTTAGAGTATGTAGGAAAGAGGGAAATTATTTCCCAGTAAAAGTAGGCCTTAGATAAGGATGTGTGATGTCACCGTGGTTGTTTAATATATTTATAGATGGGGTTGTAAGAGAAGTAAATGCGAGGGTCTTGACAAGAGGCGTGGAGTTAAAAGATAAAGAATCACACACAAAGTGGGAGTTGTCACAGCTGCTCTTTGCTGATGACACTGTGCTCTTGGGAGATTCTGAAGAGAAGTTGCAGAGATTGGTGGATGAATTTGGTAGGGTGTGCAAAAGAAGAAAATTAAAGGTGAATACAGGAAATCAGATTGGAGGGAGAGAGTATGGAGGAGGTGAATGTATTCAGATATTTGGGAGTGGACGTGTCAGCGGATGGGTCTATGAAAGATGAGGTGAATCATAGAATTGATGAGGGAAAAAGAGTGAGTGGTGCACTTAGGAGTCTGTGGAGACAAAGAACTTTGTCCTTGGAGGCAAAGAGGGGAATGTATGAGAGTATAGTTTTACCAACGCTCTTATATGGGTGTGAAGCATGGGTGATGAATGTTGCAGCGAGGAGAAGGCTGGAGGCAGTGGAGATGTCATGTCTGAGGGCAATGTGTGGTGTGAATATAATGCAGAGAATTCGTAGTTTGGAAGTTAGGAGGAGGTGCGGGATTACCAAAACTGTTGTCCAGAGGGCCGAGGAAGGGTTGTTGAGGTGGTTCGGACATGTAGAGAGAATGGAGCGAAACAGAATGACTTCAAGAGTGTATCAGTCTGTAGTGGAAGGAAGGCGGGGTAGGGGTCGGCCTAGGAAAGGTTGGAGAGAGGGGGTAAAGGAGGTTTTGTGTGCGAGGGGCTTGGACTTCCAGCAGGTATGCATGAGCGTGTTTGATAGGAGTGAATGGAGACAAATGGTTTTTAATACTTGACGTGCTGTTGGAGTGTGAGCAAAGTAACATTTATGAAGGGGTTCTGGGAAACCGGCAGGCCGGACTTGAGTCCTGGAGATGGGAAGTACAGTGCCTGCACTCTGAAGGAGGGGTGTTAATGTTGCAGTTTAAAAAATGTAGTGTAAAGCACCCTTCTGGCAAGACAGTGATGGAGTGAATGATGGTGAAAGTTTTTCTTTTTCGGGCCACCCTGCCTTGGTGGGAATCGGCCAGTGTGATAATAAAAATAATATATATATATATATATATATATATATATATATATATATATATATATATATATATATATATATATATATATATATATATATATTTATATATTATTGTACCCACGAACGAGTGGTATTGATCAATAACAACACTGCGACTAGCCAAGAAGTCGAACCCATGCTGCTTTGGCCCGCCTCATAATAAGTGAAAATTCACGATCCAATTGACCATACAGGGATACCGTAAATAGAACCACTGGTATATTCAACTCTCACTATCAGTGATGTACTACTAATAGTTAATATTAGTAACAGTTTTCCATCCAGATTCATCTCTCCTATAAATTCCATGGTATTTTTTCCAATTTGGTATACCATATTTTCCCCACAGTTTTCATGACCATATTGGCCGGAGAGACTGGAGGGCCCAGAGAGAGCCTTCTGTTTCCTATCTTTTAGCTCGTCCGCCTGGATAATGCTCTGTAGTTCTTAATCTAGTCAGACATAAATTGTTCCTGTTTGCAGATAGGCTTTTTGTGGGCTTCCAAATCCTCCTTTATGTCTTTCTCTGTTTGTCTAATGGAAACATGTTGTCTGATACAATTTTTTTTATTAAATCAAGCTCCTGTTAGTAAGTTTATAGCTCTTTACATTATTATGTGGATGTTTTCCAACTCCTCTTGACCTACATGTTTACAAACAGTTATTCTCTTTCTTCTCTGAAGTCTTTACTTAATCTTCTTCGCAACTCTCCATTTTTCTCTCTCATACTTCGTTGTCGTCCGTTACTATAAATTCTCTTTTATTTGGTCTGTTAAAGTTACTTATATTTTTTATGTTACTGTCTAGTAACTGATTTATTTTTAAGTTAACTTGTGTATCGTTGAAGAGGAGGTAGAAACAAACTTAATATATTTAAAATAATAATAAAATATATTGCAGGCAAGTGTTCCTTTTACGAGTCCAAAGAAGAATTCTTGATGGCAATATATGTAATGATTGGTCAAAAGAACAGCCCACTGCTGCCATTTATTAATAAAAGGTAACTTAAAAGGCTTTTCAATTGTTATCTTTGTATTAAATATTAAAAAAAAATTCCATAGCTAAAAAAAATTCTTACAGAAATAACATAAACAGAATATTATATATTTTTTTGCATTCGGAATATATCATTGCAAGTCATTCATTACGATTTATTTTGAGTTTATGGACAGTCTGGCTCTGAGATGGTATGAGAATAAACTTCTGGGGCTGTAGGAAGAGATAAAATAATGAAGGAATACTGAAGTAGACCATGCTAGGCAGGTCCGTTTCATACTGATTAACAACCACTCATGCATTTGTTCAACCTAGACTTCAGGGTAGCTACCTAAGATTCTGATTTCAGTAACTCTACATGGAAGTTTGCTTCACACATCTGCAAGTGTTGCTAAACCCCAACTTTCTGATATCCCTTTTAATTCTAATTTCTCCAGCTTGAACCCATTGCCGCGAATTCTGTCTTGGTTTGATATTCTCGGCACATTATTTATATCCCAAAATTTTATCCCAGTTTCCCATTATTACGCTTCAGTCGGTATGCTTCATAATTCTACGTCCTTCCAGAGAATGCAAATTCACCGCCTTAGGAGGGCAGGTAATTTTTTTTATTCAATTTCAATGAATTTTTTACTTTGATTTAAGCAGCGTTTGAAACCTACACACTGTGTTTGTAGAGACTTTTTGCCTTACAATACAGATAGAAAAAAATAAATGTTGCCCCGATCCTATGGGGCATAAAACTCTCCCTCCTCTACAAAATTGTTAAGATGTACAATCTTCTAGTTGACATCAGATGAAAGACAAAGGGCTAGATAATCTTTATTTCAAGTCATTTGAGCCAAATATCAGTACCTGGAGCTATACCTGGAGAGAGTTCCGGGGGTCAACGCCCCCGCGGCCCGGTCTGTGACCAGGCCTCCTTAGGTCAGTGTCCCAGGATGCGACCCACACCAGTCGACTAACACCCAGGTACCCATTTTACTGATGGGGAACATAGACAACAGGTGGAAATAAACACGTCCAATGTTTCTGCTCTGGCTGGGAATCGAACCCAGACCCTCGCCGTGTGAAGCGAGAGCGTTGTTTTTTTAAGGGCTTGTTTGGAAGGAAAAATCAATAAAAATAAAACAGTAAAACATTTGGCAAATCAACCCTGAAACTGAGTAGAACCATCATTCCTCAATAATATGTGCAAAAATCATGACACTCCTATAAATACTTTTCACAAAAACTGAAAAATAATGTCAATAACTTATTTCTGAGTCATACATAAAGTATTATGTGTTCTGTAAACCTCTATGGTCATGGTGCACCACATATCAGTGTGTTGCACACCTCCATTCATGCTGACAGCCCACAGGCGACTGCTTCGGCTTGTATGACCAGAGCTCTGGTAAAATGGGAAAGTGAGGTGCAATCTCTCTGTGCACTTGAATACAGTCCTCAGAGAAGTTGTCATATAAAGTATTGAGAATGAAACAATCATAAAAATCGTAATTTTTGGAGAAAGACATATTTTTGATAAGCTTTGTCATACTACAGTGTGTTTTTTCAGCATATTTATGTAAAATTGTGACGAAGAATGAGCAGAATAATCTAAATGAGGTGTCTCCAGTCGCTCATAGAATTTCAAGTATAACTTGAGGAATTCTGTTTCATTATTTGTGTTTCCTAATATAAGGCAATGAAATCTATTACATTCATTGCATGCACTTATGCACCGTTATCCTGGCCCTAAATTACTGCTAGCTGGATAACCTAAATCTGTGTCGAATTCAGTCTGAAAGATCTACATTGTTTAGCTTAGAGGTGCCTTATTCATTTTCTGTCCCCAGGTACAGAACCTTACACCTGTCTAGATTAAACTGCATCTGGCTCACGAAATCGTGATGACACGATTGCAAAAAAAAAAAAAAAAAAAAAAAAAAAAACATACCACCAGTGGTATGGTTTAAACTACATCTGCGATTTCTTTGACCACAACATTAACCTGTCTAGCTTATTCCGTAGCTCTCTTGTGACATCATCCGAATTTGACGGCCTATTTTAGTATCTGCAAATTTGCATGTATCACTCCCTCACCTACATCGTTGATACACTGTTCATTATGAATAATAAAGAACCCAATACTAAACCACTGTGGAATATCACTGGTAATCGGCCTCTATTATGATTTCTCTCCATTTACACAAACTCTGTATTGTCTATCGGTCAGCTATTCTTCGATCCAGATTATTTTTCTAATTCCATGAATTGCAACTTTCTTCAATAGTCTCATGAGTGGAACTCTATCCAAGGCTTTACTTTCCAAACTAGCTGCAAACTTTGTCCGCAGTTATTGATTCCGTCAACTTTGCTACAATTAAAGTTAGGCTAATTGGTCTATAGATTGAGATTAAAGACCAATCTCCAGATTTGTAGGATAGGTATCACATTTGTCTGGTACGTTACCCGTTTGTAGTGATTCATTGAAAAGATTAGCTAATGGTTTACTAAGTTCCTGCTTATATTCCTTTATGACTGGAAAACAGTTCATCAGCATCTGTTGACTTATTTGATTTTAACTTGTTCTTTTATTGTAAAATTTGTACTGGTTACCTCTCAGGATAATGTCGATGACGGAGGCTGGGTTGTTCTTCCAGTGGTTGATAGCTGAAGAACCCAACTCCACTGTGTGTGATCATGTCTCCAACAAGATCACCGTCAACGAGGCACTCTCCCTCAGTAACCTCTGGGTAATTAAAAAATTCGGATCAAATGAAAAAGTGAAATACTACTCGAGCAGGAAATTTTTCGGGCTCAGAGAAATAATACACAGCTGTTTTTCACTTTCTTATCGATCAATGTTTATGACATTGAGAAATTTTGCTATTACCATTAAGAATTTTAAATACATTAGAGAATATTTGTTTATATACATTCTATAGTAAAATTCGACTTACTGATGTTAATATTGGGCATTGTAATATAATCAATATTTTGTATTTCAGGGAATGCTTGTTATCCTCCTGGTGGGTGATATTACTAGTCTGTTTGTATTGTTCCTCGAGCATCTCATTCTTCACATTAAACAAATTTAGATGTTTTTGATCATTATATTCCCTTCCACTTCTATTTTCACTGTCACCTGCAGGTCATATATTACTGTGGTCATCATGTTCCCTGCAATATCTACTTACACTGTCACTTGTTGGTCATATATTAATGTGGTCATCATGTTCCTGCATCATCTACTTACACTGTCACCTGCTGGTTATATATTACTGTGGTCATCATGTTCCCTGCAATATCTACTTACACTGTCACTTGTTGGTCATATATTAATGTGGACATCATGTTCCTGCAACATCTACTTACACTGTCACCTGCTGGTCATGTATTAATGTGGTCATCATGTTCCCTGCAACATCTACTTACACTGTCACCTGCTGGTTATATATTACTGTGGTCATCATGTTCCCTGCAACATCTACTTACACTGTCACCTGCTGGTCACATATTACTGTGGTCATCATGTTCCCTGCAACATCTACTTACACTGTCATCTGCTGGTCATATATTACTGTGGTCATCATGTTCCTGCAACATCTACTTACACTGTCACCTGCTGGTTATATATTACTGTGGTCATCATGTTCCCTGCAACATCTACTTACACTGTCACCTGCTGGTTATATATTACTGTGGTCATCATGTTCCCTGCAACATCTACTTACACTGTCACCTGCTGGTTATATATTACTGTGGTCATCATGTTCCTGCAACATCTACTTACACTGTCACCTGCTGGTTATATATTACTGTGGTCATCATGTTCCTGCAACAGCTACTTACACTGTCACCTGTTGGTCATATATTACTGTGGTCATCATGTTCCCTGCAACATCTACTTACACTGTCACCTGCTGGTTATATATTACTGTGGTCATCATGTTCCTGCAACATCTACTTACACTGTCACCTGCTGGTTATATATTACTGTGGTCATCATGTTCCCTGCAACATCTACTTACACTGTCACCTGCTGGTTATATATTACTGTGGTCATCATGTTCCCTGCAACATCTAATTACACTGTCACCTGCTGGTTATATATTACTGTGGTCATCATGTTCCTGCAACATCTACTTACACTGTCACCTGCTGGTTATATATTACTGTGGTCATCATGTTCCTGCAACATCTACTTACACTGTCACCTGCTGGTTATATATTACTGTGGTCATCATGTTCCTGCAACATCTACTTACACTGTCACCTGCTGGTTATATATTACTGTGGTCATCATGTTCCTGCAACATCTACTTACACTGTCACCTGCTGGTTATATATTACTGTGGTCATCATGTTCCTGCAACATCTACTTACACTGTCACCTGCTGGTTATATATTACTGTGGTCATCATGTTCCTGCAACATCTACTTACACTGTCACCTGCTGGTCATATATTACTGTGGTCATCATGTTCCTGCAACATCTACTTACACTGTCACCTGCTGGTTATATATTACTGTGGTCATCATGTTCCTGCAACATCTACTTACACTGTCACCTGCTGGTTATATATTACTGTGGTCATCATGTTCCCTGCAACATCTACTTACACTGTCACCTGCTGGTTATATATTACTGTGGTCATCATGTTCCCTGCAACATCTACTTACACTGTCACCTGCTGGTTATATATTACTGTGGTCATCATGTTCCTGCAACATCTACTTACACTGTCACCTGCTGTTTATATATTACTGTGGTTATCATGTTCCTGCAACATCTACTTACACTGTCACCTGCTGGTTATATATTTCTGTGGTCATCATGTTCCTGCAACATCTACTTACACTGTCACCTGCTGGTTATATATTACTGTGGTCATCATGTTCCTGCAACATCTACTTACACTGTCACCTGCTGGTTATATATTACTGTGGTCATCATGTTCCTGCAACATCTACTTACACTGTCACCTGCTGGTTATATATTACTGTGGTCATCACGTTCCCTGCAACATCTACTTACACTGTTACCTGCTGGTTATATATTACTGTGGTCATCATGTTCCCTGCAACATCTACTTACACTGTCACCTGCTGGTTATATATTACTGTGGTCATCATGTTCCTGCAACATCTACTTACACTGTTACCTGCTGGTCATATATTACTGTGGTCATCATGTTCCCTGCAACATCTACTTACACTGTCACCTGCTGGTTATATATTACTGTGGTCATCATGTTCCTGCAACATCTACTTACACTGTCACCTGCTGGTTATATATTACTGTGGTCATCATGTTCCCTGCAACATCTACTTACACTGTCACCTGCTGGTTATATATTACTGTGGTCATCATGTTCCCTGCAACATCTACTTACACTGTCACCTGCTGGTTATATATTACTGTGGTCATCATGTTCCCTGCAACATCTACTTACACTGTCACCTGCTGGTTATATATTACTGTGGTCATCATGTTCCCTGCAACATCTACTTACACTGTCACCTGCTGGTTATATATTACTGTGGTCATCATGTTCCCTGCAACATCTACTTACACTGTCACCTGCTGGTTATATATTACTGTGGTCATCATGTTCCTGCAACATCTACTTACACTGTCACCTGCTGGTTATATATTACTGTGGTCATCATGTTCCTGCAACATCTACTTACACTGTCACCTGCTGGTTATATATTACTGTGGTCATCATGTTCCTGCAACATCTACTTACACTGTCACCTGCTGGTTATATATTACTGTGGTCATCATGTTCCTGCAACATCTACTTACACTGTCACCTGCTGGTTATATATTACTGTGGTCATCATGTTCCTGCAACATCTACTTACACTGTCACCTGCTGGTTATATATTACTGTGGTCATCATGTTCCTGCAACATCTACTTACACTGTCACCTGCTGGTTATATATTACTGTGGTCATCATGTTCCTGCAACATCTACTTACACTGTCACCTGCTGGTTATATATTACTGTGGTCATCATGTTCCCTGCAACATCTACTTACACTGTCACCTGCTGGTTTATATATTACTGTGGTCATCATGTTCCTGCAACATCTACTTACACTGTCACCTGCTGGTTATATATTACTGTGGTCATCATGTTCCCTGCAACATCTACTTACACTGTCACTTGCTGGTTATATATTACTGTGGTCATCATGTTCCTGCAACATCTACTTACACTGTCACCTGCTGACACATTCCTCACTCGCAGTAAATATTGTTTCCACATTACCACAAATTTATCCTAATCTTAACATTATAATCATTGATTATTGGTATTCAGTAATATTATAACTACTGTATTCAATAACAAAGATTCTCAGTGTATTTAGTTGATAATAAAGTTTTACTTCTTACTGCTGATATTTTTACTTTTCCAAAGTTGTTGTTTTATCTTTAAGAATAATAATAAAAATAATAATAATAATAATAATAATAATAATAATAATAATAATAAATAATAATAATAATAATAATATCTTTATTTACTACAAGTACATGTACAAGGTATACAGACCAAAGCTGACATCAATGACATACCATTATATAGAAAGCCACTTGTTATGCTGAGAATCTCGGGCAAATTAGCTCAGTTTTGTCCCAGGATGCAACCCACACCAGTCGCGTAACACCCAGGTACCCATTTTGAACTGATGAGTGAGCAAGAACAGTACTTGTCTTATGGAAACACATCCCTGATGTTTTCCAGTCGTACTGGAGGAGATTCGAACTCCAGACCTCAGTGTGTGAGCTGAATGCGCTAGTGATCGAGCTACGGGACACCCTAAAGTGTAGTGTCAACTCTATCAGCAAGTGGAAGTTGTATACGTCAACAACTGCGATCCATCATCAGAGTTGATCATTGTTGACGACACTCTTCAAGGCAGGTTCTTTGACTCTACTCAGGCGCTCGTAATGTCAACAATTGGACCTGTCCTTCCCTTGGATTGAACCTGAATGCCTCTCATCCCTTCATATGTTTGACACTTAGAATTTAGCACTCTTTTGAGTGTAATAATCATGTAATAATCAATACCTGTCGGTATTGTATACCATTTTCATGTTCATAGTTCGTAATGATATTTCACTCGTAATGTATCTGAGTTAGTTTTGTACGTGTTAGCTTAAAATATATTTGCCTACAATATAAATGTAAATCTTTAAAATCAAAGTTTATAGTTCGTCTAGTCACACTGCTTTATTTGCCAGCAATATACCTTGCATATGAATATATAATAACAATTATAATTTACTACACACACACACACACACACGCACACACATACAAACACACACACACACACACTCCATCTCCCCCTCCTCTCCCTCTTTCCCCCTCTGCCTCTCCCATTCTCTCTCCCCCTTTGCTTCTCCCTCCTCTCTCCCCATATTTACCCCTCATTCATCCTCCCCACCCCTCTCTCATTTTGCCACTGTCTCCAGCTTCCTCCTCTACCTCCATGTGTCCCACCCCCTCGGGCAAACACAACATAAAACAAGCACACAGAATTACATAAGTTTTTCATTTTGTGGCAACCAAAACAAGCAAAAAATGGGTTGCCAGAGAGCAGGAAGGAAAACCAGTGGACTGGAGGATGAGTCTGCAAAGGAAGATTGGGCAGCAGAGCTCATGAATAGGGAACATGAGTGAGGAAAGAAGCTAGAAGACCTTAGCATGAGGATGGATGAGAGGATAGATGCAGAAAGCAAGAAGTGGGAGATCCAAGTCACAGTAGCAGAGGCTAAGATACAGAGATTAGAAGAGTAACTGAAAAATCTGAACCAGATTAAAAAACTAAAGAATAATTTGGGATTGACATCAGAAACTTCTACCTCAGTCCCAAACAGGGGGGCTGTAGGAAACAAAGGAGTGCACCAGTATGCAGCGCCCCTATCAGACCATCGTGGAGCCCGAGAAAAAGTGAGAATGATATCAGGAGCAATCGAGGAGACTGTAGAAAATTAAAGAGCTAAGCTATATGTGGAGACCCTAAAAGACCACAGCAGAGCCCAGGGAAATCTGAGAAGGGAAAATGACAGGCCACTGG